GGAAACTTTGTCAAAAGCTTTACTGAGATCCAAGAAGATCACGTCAGCTGGTTTCCCTTGATTGACTAGATTGGTGATCTTATCATAAAAGGAAATCAAATATGTTAAGCAGGACCTATCCCTCATGAAGCCACATTGCCTGGGACCAATGACTTCATTGTTCCCCAGGTGCACTTCGATACCTTCAAGGATTATCTTCTCCATAATTTTACCAGGCAGTGATGTGAGATTGACAGACCTGTAACTGCCAGGGCCTTCTTTCTGGCCCTTCTTGAGCATTGGTACAGCATTTGCCAGCTTCCAGTCTACTGGGACCTCTCCAGATTCACAAGATCATTGAAAAATAATTGAGAGAGGTCCCGCGATGGCGTCAGCCAGCTCTTTAAGCAGCCCTGGGATGAATCCCATCCGGACCCATGGACTTGTATGGATCCAGGTGGAGCAGCAAATCCCGCACACGTTCAGGGTCGGTTGGGAGTTGATCATTCCCACCGTCTTGGTCCTCCGGCTCAGGGCACCCTGGGTCCCAAAGCCGATCATCAGCATTGAAGACGGAGGCAAAGAAGGCATTAAATGTCTCTGCTTTGCTTATGTCCTTGTCTTTGAGGAGACCTTCCCCATTAAGTAGTGGACCTATGTTTTCCTTGGTCCTCCTTTTTCTGTTAATGTATCTAAAAAACTCTTTTTATTGTCTCCCACAGATGTGGCCAGCTTCAACTCTAGTTGGGCTTTAGCCACACGAATTTTCTACCTACAAACACGACCAGTGTCCCTGTATTCCTTCCACGTTGCCTAACCCTCCTTCCAGCAGCCATACATTTTCTGTTTTTGCCTAAGCTCCAGTAGAAGATCCCTGGTCAGCCAGGCCGGCCTTCCGCCCTGCCTGCCTGCCTGATTTCTGATATCTTGGAATTGCCTGATGCTGTGCTTTTAGGAGGCAGTGCTTAAAGATTGCCCAGCACTGATGGACGCCGATGCCTTCAAAAGCAGTTTCCCAGGGGACCTTGCTGGCTAGTTCCCTGAGCAGCCTGAAGCCTGCTTTCCCCATATCCCGGGCTGAAGTTTTGGTGGCAGTTTCCCTTCTGTCACCAAAAATTTTAAACTCAACTACTTCATGGTCGCTATGACCGAGACGGCTGCCAATTGTCCATGCCAATTCCCCCACAAGACCATCTCTGTTCTCCAACAGCAGATCTAGGAGGGCACCTTTCCTAGTTGGCTCCCTTAGCGCCTGCACCAAGAAGTTGCAGAAAATTTAGGAACCTCCAGGACTTGCTCGTGTCGGCCGTATGGTAATCACAGTTGATGTCTGGCAAGTTGAAGTCCCCCATGAGGACAAGGGGAGTTGATCTTGAGGCATCTCCTAGTTCCGCAAAGAATAATTTACCATCCTGGCTGGGTGGTCTGTAATAGACTCCCACAATGACATCCCCTTTATTTGTTCGTCCCTTAATCCTTACCCGGAGGCTCTCAACTTTGCCATCGCCAACTTGAAGTTCACACAGTCCAGCCCCTGCTTCACGTACATCGCCACCCCCCCACCTCGCCTACCCTGCGTGTCCATCCTGAAGAGCCTGTAACCATCTCTTGCAACACATCAGCCACAGGACTCATGCCACCAGGTTTTGCTTACCCCAATGATGTCGTAGCTGTCGTAACTTCAATTGTTAGGGCCTGAATTTTCACTGAAACCAAAGGCAGGTATCTTACTGATGTGAAGAAAGAGGCTTAAATCCATCCTGGCTTGTTTACTCCCAAAGTAACGTGAAAGAGACACGTGTCCTTGTATCTGAAGAGGAGGTGAAGGAACAGCTAATGCAAGGAACACAAACTAATTTGCGCCGGACTAATAGGTGGTTGGCTCTGAGCTTGGAGACTGCAACAGAATCACAGAATCATTCAGGTTGGAAGAGACCTCCAAGATCACGTAGTCCAACCTCTGACCTAACACTAACAAGTCCTCCACTAAGCCGTATCCCTAAGCTCCACACCTAAACATCTTTTAAAGACCTCCAGGGATGGTGACTCGACCACTCCCCTGGGCAGCCCGTTCCAATGCCTCACAACCCTTTTGGTGATGAACTTCTTCCTAACATCCAGCCTACACCTCCCCTGGTGCAACTTTAGCCCATTCCCCCTCGTCCTATCACCAGGCATGTGTGAGAACAGACCAACCCCTGCCTCGCTACAGCCTCCTTTAAGGTATCTGTAGAGAGCAATAAGGTTGCCCCTGAGCCTCCTCTTCTCCAGACCAAACAATCCCAGATCCCTCAGCCGCTCCTCATAAGACTTGTTCTCCAGATCCCTCACCAGCTTTGTTGCCTGGACTCACTGGAGCCCCTCAATATCCTTCTTGCAGCGAGGGGCCCAAAACTGAACATAGTACTTGGGGTGTGGCCTCACCAGAGCCAAGTACAGGGGCACAATGGCTTCCTTAGTCCTGCTGGCCACGCCGTTTCTTGTACAAGCCAGGATGCTGTTGGCCTTCTTGGCCACCTGAGCACACTGCTGGCTCATATTCAGTCAACTAGCCACCAGGTCCCAGGTCCTTCTCTGCCAGGCAGCTTTCTAACCACTCAGATGGCTTTTCCAACCATCTTCAACCTTCCAGATCTAGAGGAAGGCTTTGGCTGCTGCCTAAAAGCCACGTGCATGTAAGCTTCCGCAAGCCAACCTTCTTCCCATGACCTGCCAGGAAACAGCAATTTAGGCACGTAACCAAATTAAAGCCAGAACTTGCAGCCCAGTCCTTGACCTGAATAGTGAGGATCTGGAGCCTGGCATTTATGCGTGATAGCTTCTACGCAGCTGAAGTAAATACACCCCGGGTACCCTGAGCTGGAGGACCACGATGGTGGGAATGATCAACTCCCAACCGACCCTGAACGTGTGCGGGATTTGCTGCTCCACCTGGATCTACACAAGTCCGTGGGACCGGGTGGGATTCATCCCAGGGTGCTTAAGGAGCTGGCTGACGTCATCGCGGGACCTCTCTCAATTATTTTTCAATGATCTTGTGAATCTGGAGAGGTCCCAGTAGACTGGAAGCTGGCAAATGTCGTACCAGTTTTCAAGAAGGGCAAGAAAATAGACCGTGGCAACTACAGGCCTGTCAGTCTCACATCAGCGCCTGGTAAAATTCTGTAGAAGATGATCCTTGAAGTTCTTGAAGTGCACCTGGGGGACAATGCAGTCATTGGTCCCAGCCAACATGGGTTCATGAGGAGTAGGTCCTGCCTAACAAATCTGAATTCCTTTTATGATAAGATCACCCATCTAGGTGATCAAGGGAAACCAGCTGACGTGATCTTTTTGGACTTGAGCAAAGCTTTTGACACAGTTTCCCATAGGATCCTACTGGACAAAATGTCCAGCATACAACTTAACAAACACATCATACTGGTGGGTGAGCAATTGGCTGACAGGCAGGGCTCTAAGGGCTTGTGGTAAACTGGGGCCTACATCAGGCATGGCGCATGGTCACTAGTGGGGTACCCTCAAGGCTCCATTTTAGGGCCGGTCCTCTTCAATGTTTTTATAAACTGATTTAGATGTAGGACTAGAAGATTGTTTGAGCAAATTTGCTGATGGCACCAAACTTGGAGGAGTTGTAGACTCAGATGAGGGTGGAAAGGCCTTGCAGAGAGATCTGGGCAGATTGGAGAGCTGGGCGATCACCAACCTGCATGAAGATTAACAAGAGCAAGTGCCGGGTCCTGCACCTGGGACGGGGCAACCCTGGCTTATACGTACCGACTGGGTGACGAGATGCTGGAGAGCAGCCCTGCAGAGAGGGATCCGGGGGCGGTGGTTGACAGCAAGTTGAACATGAGCCAGCAGTGTGCCCTGGCAGCCAGGAGGGCCAACCGTGTCCTGGGGTGCATCAAGCACGGCATCGCTAGTAGGTCGAGGGAGGTGATTGTCCCACTCTGCTCTGCACTGGTGCAGCCTCACTTCAAGTACTGCATGAAGTTCTGGGCACCACAGTACAAGAAGGACATTAAACTGCTGGAGAGTGTCGAGGGAAGGGAGACGAAGATGGTGAAGGGCCTAGAGGGGTAGCCGTATGAGGAGCGGCTGAGGTCACTGGGCCTCTTCAGCCTGGGGAAGGGGAGGCTGAGGGGGGACGTCATTGCAGCGTACAGCTTCCTTGCAGTGGGGGAGTGCAGAGGCAGGTGCTAACCTATTCTCCGTAATCACAGTGATAGGACCCATGGGAATGGTGTTAAGCTGAGGCAGGGAAGGTTTAGGCTGGACTTCAGCAAGAGGTTCTTCACCGAGAGGAGGGTGGTCGCACACTGTAACAGGCTCCCCAGGGAAGTAGTCACTGCACCGAGCCTGTCTGAATTTAAGAAGCGATTGGACTGTGCACTTAGTCACGTGGTCTATACTTTTGGGTAGACCTGTGCGGTGCCAGGAGTTGGACTTGATGATCCTTATGGGTCCCTTCCAACTCAGGATATTCTATGATTCTATAAATAGTGTAGTCAGAGGTCATGGGGCTAGATTTAGAAAAGTCCTGCATAAAGAAGGGATCTCAGAGAAGAAAATGTAAATAACATTAATATCAAGAAAAGGAGTTCTGATTGCTAAATTCTTTATCTGTCATGACTAGACAGATGAAAATCTATGATGGCAAGTTTGCCTTTAAGGTCATTTTATTTTTTATTAATTTCTTTTATTTATTTGTATTTATTTTTTTAACAGGCTCTGTACTAATTTTGCTCACAGAATGACTGACTAACAGAAATATGACCCTTGTGCACCTTTTGTAGTTAATTCATTAGGTCAACTGTAACCACTAAGCCCCTTGTCAGGTTATTTCTACTAGTGATGAGGAGCAATAGACTTTAAAACTTTGAAGCCAGGTAGAGGAGCTTATTCCACAAGGTCTCTTGGCTCCACCCTTGTTAAGTGAAACCTGCCAGGTGTGGGTCATTTGACCTTTGCTATATAGGAAGTCTGAGGACTGGTGGGGGATTTGCCTCTCCAGGAGAGACTGAGGCTTGGGTAGCCTAGGGTGTTTTTCTCTCGTGGTGAATCGGGCTCGGTGTTCCCTACTAGGCTGCTTTTCCTTCATGTTTTCTGCCACTAGGCTGCTTTTCCTTCATGTTTTTTGCCCTCTCTGTGAAATAGTTTTAGAGACTCTATGAGCTAGTTACATTGGTGTTGCCTTCTTCAGAAAAACTCTGGTGGCACTATTTCACTGTGAAGCACTTTGGAAGTGACTCGAGTTCAGAAGACAGCAGGTAAGCGTTCCTGGGTTCTGTGGTTGTTACTGTTGAGGAGTTTGAGTACTTCCTTCACCTTATCTGTTTTCTGTGAAATTACTTAGGTGGATTCTAAGCTCCCTTCCAAGCACTGGAGGAAAAAAAAGGCCTCAAAAGCCCAAGTGCACACAGGTCAGCCTGACATTGAAGAATGTTCTTAAGTATTTGGAAGATTGAAAAATGGGCTGTGTGAAAAAGGTGCCTTAATGTGAATGCAGATTTTGCCTTGTGGTAAGTAGAAACAGGTTGGGATGGATACTGGTGGAAAGATTGCTACTTTGACGAAGTAGAAATTGTGAGAATGTGCTGTTGTTCATAAAAGAAATATTGTTTTCACAATATGCAGGTCAAAAGCAGTATGAAGAAAGTCTGTCATCTTCCCATCAGGCCTGGGTTTCAGCTGGGTACTGCTTCCTGAAGAGGTCCAGCAACTTGAAGAGAATTGATCTTCCTCCCAAGCTCTATGAACCAGAGTCTCAGCTATCAGGGGTAAGCATCTTTCTGTGCAAGAAAGACAACATGGCGCGGAGTCGAGGCGCGTTCTTGGGCCCCCAGAAAAGCCAACTGAAGAATCTATTTTTAAGGAAAAGCTGTTCTGGTTGCTTTATTTTTTATATGTCTCGACTAGACAGATGAAAATGTGCGAGCAATTTAGCCTTTATGGTCAATTCCTTTTCTCTTTCTTTCTTATTTTATTTTTTGTATTTTTTTATATTTATTTATCTTATTTTAATGGGCTCTGTACTAGTTTTCCTCGCAGAATTACTAGCAGGTATATGACCTTTATGCACTTTTTGTAGTTAATTCCTTAGGTCAATTCTAACCACTAAGCCCCTTGTCAGGTGATTTCTCTTAGCAATAAGGAGCAATTGACCTTAAAACATTGAATCCAGGTAGATGAGCCTATTCCACAAGGTCTCTTGGCTCCACCCTTGTTAGATGAAATCTGCCAGGTGGGAATCATTTGACCTTTGCTATATAGGAAGCATGAGGACTCATAGGGGGAATTGTTTCTCCAGGGGATTTTGAGGTCTCAGTTTTCTAGGGTGCTTCCCTACTGTCATGGTGGAATGGACTCAGTGTTCCCCCAGCAGGCTGCTTTCTCTCTGTGTTTTCCTCCGTCTCTGTGAAATAGTTTTAGAGACTCTATGAGCTAGCGCCGTTGGTGGTGCTTTCTCCGTACAGTAAAAGCCTGGTGGTACGACTTGTGAAGTAGCTTGGAAGTGCTTCGAGTTCAGGAGCTGGCAGGTAAGTGTTCCTGGGTTCTAGAGTTGTTTCATGTTCCGGAGTTTGAGTACTTCCTTCACTTTGTCTGTTTTCAGTGAAATTACTTACATGGATTCTAAGCACCTTTGCCAGCCCTTAAAAAATAAAATCTAATAATAATAAAAACCCAGAACTCAGAAGCTCAAGCGCTTACAAAGAAGCCTGACTTTGAAGAATGTTCTTCAGTATTTGTTAAGATTGAACAACAGACTGTGTGAAAAATGTGCCTTAATGTGAACTCAGATTATGCCTTGTGGTAAGTAGAAACAGATTTGGATAGATACTGGTGGCATTATCGTTACTCTCACTGAGTGGAAACTGAGAGAATGTGCAGTTCATAAAAGAAATGCTGTTTTCACAATATGCAAGTCAAGGGCCTTTAAATTACTAGAAGTTGTAGCTCCAAGGAGATAATTTTAAAGACAGAACCTATTGCTGGACGTTTCCTGCTGAACCCTCCATAGACTGGCTCCCTGAAGAAAAAGTGTGAAAGGTGTAACTGTTAGAAGTTTCTGAGGTAGTGTCAAGGGCAGATGTTTTTCCCCCACTTGTGAACTCTCCCTTTCTGGGAGGAAGACCTGGAAAGACCATAAGGAATTCACAGTGGATGAATTGGCTAAACAACAGTGGCAGTAGGAAGACAGTCTCTCCTCTTCCCTACAGGCCTGCATCTTGGCTGTGGAGAAACTATACGAAGAGGTCCACCAAGTTAATGAGAATGTACCTTCATCCCCACCTGTACAAAGCAGTGTCTCAACTATCAGGGGTGCACGTCCTTCTGTGCAAGGAGGATGACAGAGTGGGTACAATCTCCGTACCCCCCTGTGGCCTTGCAGAGAGATGGGGATGGATTGGAGAACTGGGTGATCACCAACAGCTTGAAATTTAACAGGTGCAAGTGCTGTGTCCTGCACCTGGGACGGGGCAACCCTGGCTTTATGTACAGACTGGGCAAGGAGATGCCGTAGAGCAGCCCCACAGAGAGGGATCTGGGGGTTGTGGTTGACAGCAAGTTGAATGTGAGCCAGCAGAGGAGGCAGCCAGGAGGGCCAAGCATATCCTGGGGTGCATCAAGCACAGCATCGCTAGTCAGTCGGGGGAGGTGATTGTCCTGCTGTACTCTGCTCTGGTGTGGCCTCACCTCGAGTACTGTGTGCAGTTCTGGGCACCACAGTACAAGAAGGACATGAAACTGTTGGAGAGCGTCCAGAGGAGGGTGACAAAGATGGTGAAGGACCTAGAGGGGAAGACATATGGGGACAGCTGAGGGCACTGGGCCTGTTCAGCCTTGAAAAGAGGAGGCTGAGGGAAGACCTCATTGCAGTCTACGGCTTCCTCACGAGGTGGAGTGGGGGAGCAGGCACTGATCTGTTCTTCTCAATCACCAGTGATAGGACCCCAGGGAATTGCCTCAACCTGAGGCAGGGGAGGTTTAGGCTAGACATCATGAAGTGTTTTTTCATTGAGAGGGTGGTCGCACACTGGAACAGGCTCCCTAGGGAAGTAGTTGCTGCACCAAGACCGTCTGAATTTAAGAAGCGTTTGGACTGTGCACTTAGTCACATGGTCTAAACTTTTGGGTAGACCTGTGTGGTGCCAGGAGTTGAACTTGATCCTTATGGGTCCCTTCTGTGAAATGTGTTCATCTGATTCGTGTCAATATGGAATAATTCTAGGGCTGCATGGTACGACGAATGTGACCTTCTGTCTTACATACCCTTGTATAACCACAAGTCTAAGAAAAACAGAGTGGTTAATGTATATAGGTCTTGTACCTTGCAAAGGAATGTTTTAGCAACTCGTGTCAATAGAGAGCTTGAAGGGAAATGTATTTGTAGGGTTTTCCTTGAAGTCTCTGATATCTGGGGGGGTTCAGAATAACTGCTAACTATTATGACTGTTGCATGCAACACTATGCAAGTCTCTGATATCTGGCCAGGAGATTAAGGAGGAGGGGAAACCTGAAGAATGACTAAAAGACAAAGCTTTCAGGGGATGCTGTACAAGTCTCTGACATACAGCCAAGTTGGACAAAGGAGAAGGACAAGAGGGAGGAAGACTATGAGCCTTCAGCATGAGAAAACCCCAGAGGGACCACCGGAGACTGATACGCATGCTCCAGTAGGAGGGTTTGGATTCTGGAAACTAATTATAATAACCCTGTTTTTTAATATAAGTAGTAACAAATATGTATTAGCCTAGGAGCATAAAAATCAGCTGTCTGATGTAATTGGTGTGCGTCTTGGTGGAGCAGAGACTCCTGGCGCACCCAGCGCTGTTTGCTTACCTCTATTCCTTTAATAAATTGTAAGCTTTGATTACAGTTCTATTTTGAAGACAGAGCCATTTTTTACACTTCCAACTTGCGATATTCTATGATTCTTTCTGAAACCTATACCAGCATGAGCTATGAGACGTGCAAAAAGATTTTGGTCGTTGTCTAGGTGAGCACCTTGTCACCTGGCTGCTCCGGTGCTGGGATATCAGAGCAAATAGTCTGGAATTGGAAGGCAGGGAAGGCAGGTGGCTGGGATCCCTTGCTAGAGATGCAGGCTGTTGACAAAGCAAATGGGGATGGAGCACCAGGCTACAGCCTCTGGAGGTGTCTCCTGTCAGCTATGAAGGAAACGTATCCCTTCAAGGATGAACGTGTATGTCTACCTAAATTAATGTAAACTGGCCTATTTGCATTGATTCTGGAGACTGAGGACAGGGGTAGTATGTACTTAAATGAATAAATAATTGTATATGTGTACATTTATTTAAAAAAAAAAGTAAAATGTAAGAATGATGGATTTGCTGGCTTGCTGACCAAATGCAAACTTAAGAGATGAGTTTACTCTTGATTTGAAATGTATTATTTTTATTGTCAAATACAATAAACTTGCTAGGCAAAAGAAATGATGCATACATCATGTTTTAATAGATACTTATATTTCCAATTAAACATTTATCAGATTAATAAATAATTGACATTTTGCCCTGTCTCCACTATCCTGTATTACAGTATGAAGAAATGAACTACATTTAAGCAGTTGAAAAATATAAATTCACTTATTTTAACACAGTCTGTGTATTGACAAAATCATTACATTTCTAAAAACTGCAGGAGAATGGACTTTTTGACAGATGAATCACTAACTAGAACCAATTCTCTGGGGGGGGGGGGGGGGATACAATTCTTTATAGTTAACAGTTTACAGTAAATGACATTTCCCAGAAACAGCTAACAAACCAACCATTCAGAGACACTGCCCTGAATTAAAAACTTATAAAACAGCATTAATGTTTTCACCAGGCACTCACTTTCCAACTATTTGGATAAAGCAGTAACTGAAGTTTCAAAATATAATTGTCTTTAAGGCTGGAAGAAAAAAATAAAATTGTTCTGCTTAGCAGTCCAAATAAGCGCATGGATGTTATTTGGGTGTTTTTGTTCTTAAATGAGTATTTTTCCTCTAGCATGAAGAGCTTTATTAACATCACTGGAAGTGTGAGGAATAATCGATTTTTCTTGCTTTTCTTATTGTGCAACTTTAATTTTACCTGTAATTTAGAACACCCTGAAATCTCAACCTCTGAAGTGCTTGCGTGCAGCTGGGGGAAAAAGCAAGGAGAGGGTTGTCCATGGCCTGATCGTCCAGAGTGAGGTTCTCTGTAGGAAATGAAGCGTGCAACACCACTTCATCATCACACAGAAGAAATTATTACTCCTTTCCAATCGTTAGCTCCTCATTTTTCAAACTGTTTATTAATTGTTCAAATATAAATTGTTGTCCCTGAACTGGGGTGACACGATATTGTTAAATATCTCAACTCCTCCTTATGTAGCACCATCAGAATAATGAAATCCTAGCATTTCAACAGAATCCCCGGGTGCTGCCTGAGGGGGGCCGGACCACCGCGGCGCGTAGCCGCCATTTCCCCGCCCGGCCCTTCAGGGGGGAGTGGCGGTTGGCGGCCGTTGGAGGCGGCGGTTGGCGGGGCCGGGCCGCGCCGCCATGTTCGTGGCGCGCAGCATCGCGGCGGATCACCGCGACCTCATCCACGATGTCTCCTTCGACTTCCACTGGGCGGCGCATGGCCACCTGCTCCAGCGACCAGAGCGTCAAGGTGAGCGGGGCCGGGGCCGGGCCGGGGCCGGGGTCGGGGGCTGCCCGCAGCTTTCCCTCACGGCCGCCGGGCCGCGGGGTGAGGCTGGGGGAGGCCGTCGGGGCCGCGGCTCGTTCCGAGGCTTGGGAACGAAGGGGATTTAGGGAATTTAATCTGCAGGCAGCAGTTATATACGGTAAACCTGATAAATAGTTGGGGAAATTGCCCTTCTATGCAAAGCAGTGTCAAATGTGGATCGGGAACTGCCTCTTGTGGTTTATCCCTTCGGAAGGGGGGGGGAACAAGCACCACCGTGCCTTCCTGTCACTCCCCCTCCTCAAAAGAATAGGGGGAGAAGTTACAGTGGGGTTGCTCAAGGGTTGAGATAAGGACAGGGAGACCCCTCACCAACTACCATCACAAGCAAAGCAGACTCAGCAGAGGGAGTAAACTATAGTTTACTGCCTATCCCTACCAGACTAGAGCAGTGAGAACTACAAGTAAACTAAAAACACCTTCCCCCTGTCCACTCTCTTCCATGTTCAACCCCCCAGCCGTGCAGGGGAATGTGGAATGGGGGCTGCAGTTGGTCCCTGAGGCTTCATCTCTGCAGCTCCTTCAGGGTCGCTCCCTGCCCCTACTCCACGTGGGGTCCTTCCTGAACTGGTCATGCGTGGGCTGCCCACAGGCAGCAGCTCTTCAAGCACTGCACCCACATGGCTCTGTCCCACGGGGTCCATCCCCCAGGAGCAAACTGCCCTAGCACAGATCCCCCACAGGCAGCAGCTCCCCCCAGACAGCTCCTGTGTGGGCTTCTCTCCACGGGCTGCAGCTCTGACCCGGGGCCTGCTCCTGTGGGGGCTCTCCATGGGCCTCAGCCTCCTCCAGGCCACATCCACCTGCTCCACCGGGGGCACCTCCACCCATGGGGGGGCTGCAGCGTGGAGATCTGCTCCATGTGGGACCCATGGGTTGCAGGGGGACAGCCTGCTCCACCGGGGGCCTCTCCACAGGCCGCAGGGGAACTGCTGCTGCCTGCCTGGAGCACCTCCTGCCCTCCTGCTGCACTGACCTTGAGGTCTGCAGGGCTACTTCTCATTCCTTTCTCCCAGCTGCTGTTGCATAGCTTTTTTTTTTCCTTCCTTAAATCTGCCCTTTCAGAGGCCCAGTCTGTTGCTCACTGGCTTGGCTCTGGCCAGCAGTGTGTCCCTTCTGGAGCTGGCTCTGCTCTGACACAGGGCAGCTGCTGGGCTCTGCTCACAGAGGCCACCCTGGCAGTCCTGTACCGCTGGCACATGAGCCCAGTACATACAAGCAAGCAGCCTCTTCTCTGTGATCACGTATTAACAAGTTTTCAGAAAGAGATCATCAAGATGATTAAGAGCTATGGTAAACTGACAAAAACAAAAGGTTAAAGGACTTGAATGTGGTTTTAAGTCAATTGAGAAATACTAGAAATAAAAATAAGATCCCTTACTCCACTAGATTCATTTGGATTCATTCTGTGGGCCTCGGTGAACTTTGTAGACCCCTTCCAACTATCCTGTTCTCTTCTTGGGGGTGATTTTCAGGGGCCACATCAGGGGTTTGGGACTGTGTCTGAGGACATAAATGGTGAGGACCTTGGGACCAGTACAATAAAACTAAGTAATTTACTCTTGGAATAGAAGATAAAAATGGAGTGTTGAAAATTGTAACAATTTGTCTTCTATGAATAACATTGTTGAAAAAAGATATACTTCGTGTGGTTATGGATTTTGCAGGTGTATGCCTGTTCTCCCTGTCTCTTATAGGGCTGTTTTCAAAGTTGGGTGAAATGTGGTTGTATACTGAGCTAGGTAGAGTTTTCTAGAATAAAATGTTCAGTGATATATATTTTTAAATGGCTGTGGGTTTTGGTACTACCTAGTAAGCTTTACATACAAACTATGTGATCGTATTTTGATTTTTCAATAGGTCTGGGACAAAAGCGAAAACGGGGACTGGCATTGCACTGCAAGCTGGAAGGTTTGTATTTATAATCATTAAACAGTGATACTCTTATTTTTATTTTTTAGAAACGTGCCTACTTTTTGCTGATTTTAGAGTAGAAATATATATTTTGTAGATCTTGTGTTTCTGAAAATATTAGAATGGTTTGGGTTGGAAGGGATCTTAAAGATCATCAAGTTTCAGCCCCCTCTCATTCAAGAGGACCATCAGTAATAAGCTCTGGTCGGTCTTAAAACTCACACCACTTCTTAGCAGTACAAAGGTACATCCTAGGCTGAGGGGATAAAAGCGCAACCAGGAAAAATGCACGTTAGTAAGCATCAAACCTCATTACCTGTTGGGACTATACTGAGTACTGAAGTGTGTAAAGACACGTTGCATGCATTTTCACCAGGTTTCCATGTTAGTGAATTTTAACTTTAAGTTGTTATTCTTATGGTAAAATACTTCATCTCTGCATTTGTAAAGCATCTCCAGTGCCTCTCACTTAAAGCAGAAGCTAGCATGCAGTCTTACACTATTAGTACTTATGTTGACGGACTTTGTTATCAGTAAACATAGCGGTGACAGTGAGGAATTGGAATCAGTACCTTTATTTTTAATTTAATATTTCCTTTTTTGCATATTGTAGACTGGGGGGGGGGAAAAAGGAAGAGGTCTGGCTGGTAAATGTTACATCTGACTGCTGTGTTATTTTCCATAACCTTTCTGAGAACTGTACACAGAAACTAGTTCATCAACGTAGCTAATTAGTGCATTCAGCCTCCAATTTGTCCTTAAACTTGTATAAAATAGAACATAAAGTAAAGTGTATATATGTATATATATACACTTTATAGTAACATATATATATGTTACTATATATATACAGTAATCCTTGTAAATGGAAGTGCAAGTGAAACTTTTGAATTCCTCTTCTCTAGAAAAAAGAAGCATTCACTTGACTAGGTGTGAAAGAGGAGTTTCTTGTAAAGAAGAAAAAGATAAGCGGTGCCCTGCATGTGCTTTGGAAAAGTACAGGCAAGCTGGGAATAGGCATGGTAGTAGTAGCTGGAAATTGAAAATGAAGCTGTACTTCATGCGTCAAGGCAGAATCATAGCTTGCAACTATTTTTTTGGAACTTGGGGTTTAAAGGAATAATAAATAATGCCTTGAAATAAGCTTGTAATAATATCTTTTAATAGTTAATAGCAACAAAACTTGGTAGTGTTACAGAAATAAACAAATTCAGCAGTTTCATTGAGCTTTATAAAATATCATAGGCTCCACAGGAATGGTCTTACTACTTCCTACAACTTAGTACTTCTTACAACTTAGCTTCTGCTTACAGCAGGCAGTCCTGAAAATGTATTTAAAAATCATTTGTGATCACTTGGAATAATGTAATGTTTTTCTAGACTGTAGCCTTTTGGTGTTATCTTCTAGACACATAGTGGATCTGTGTGGCGTGTGACATGGGCTCATCCTGAATTTGGGCAAGTCCTGGCTTCCTGCTCGTTTGATAGAACAGCAGCTGTGTGGGAAGAAATAGTGGGAGAGTCAAATGATAAACTCCGAGGCCAGAGTCACTGGGTAAGATTTTAACATATTAATTCACTTTTTCTGTGTTCTCATATAAACAGATTTGCTGTACCACACTGATTTGTCTGCTTGTCATAATAGGCCGAAGCTTTAAACTGTTCATACTCCAGAATTACACAGAAAATTGGACGTGAAGTTAGTCTAAACTACCCAGGTTACTAGACATTTCTAGTTTTGCAACATACTTGCTATTCCTGAAACAGAGAATGTGGTCTGTTTTCTTCAAAGTGTTCTTGACTTTCCAATGTTTTGTTAATTTGTGGCAATACTCCAAAATAGAGTGAGAATTTTTAAAACATTGAGGCAGTCAGCTAAATGGCAATATTCAGGTCAATTAGTGTGACTACCACTGGTGTTTCTTACCTGGATGTTCCTCTGCAAACCTGCAGACAACCCTTCTCGGAAATACTTGTTGTTTTTGTGCTTCTCTTGGAAAGTGCTTCCTGATAAACTTCAATAACACTGAGATTAGAAAGCAGCGCTGTTAGGCTTCACAGCTGATCCTGTCACCAGTATGAACAGTGAAGACAGTTTTGAACTGCATGTGGCCCATACTTTTTATCACTTATATACTTATCTGTTACTTTGTTTTTCTTTTTTTTTTTTTTTGAAGAGCGTAATCTAAGCAACTCTTGTTGGCATCAGTACTTCACTATCATGGGATGCATGTCCCTGCCTAAAATTGCATCAGTGCGGTGATTTGCCATTTCTTTTTAAGTTATATAAAGTTTTTTTAGTTCTTGATGGAAGAGGTAAGCGATCCTAAAAACTGGTATTGTCAGACTTAGCTTTTAGGGAAGGAAAAAAATCGAAAAAATGGCTTAGGGAATACACTTTTGATGGCAACTCAAGAATTTCTGCCTTTCTTTGCAGGTAAAGAGGACCACGCTAGTAGACAGTAGGACATCTGTTACAGATGTGAAGTTTGCTCCCAAGCACATGGGTCTTATGTTAGCAACTTGTTCAGCAGATGGGGTTGTAAGGATTTATGAAGCCCCTGATGTGATGAATCTCAGTCAATGGTCGCTGCAGCATGAAATCTCAGTGTAAGCTAAGCTGCAGTTGCATTTCTTGGAATCCTTCAAGGTATGTTAATAAAGCTGTAGTTGTTGTCTTATGACTGGTTAAACAAAACATCCTAAGAGTTAGTTCTGAAATTTTGTAGGATAAATCCTGCAATACTCACGCAGAATGCTCAAAGTACATTACTCAAATCTGGAAGAAAGCTGCTGACAGCTCTGTTAATATAGACAGTTTGGATGAGCTGCAGAAGTGTTTGAAAAAGTTCTCTTGTACCCTGTGAGGATGTATTCGTACCTTAATTATTTGTAGCAAGTAAGGAGCTAAAGAACTGTGGAGTGCTCTTTATTTATCCCAGAAAATTTAACTGAGATTCCTTAACTGGCTCAGTGGGGGGCGGGCCTTATCACCCCTCTACAGGTACCTTAGAGGAGGCTATAGTGGGGTGGGGATCAGTCTCTTCTCCTGAGCATCAAGTGATAAGACATGAGGAAGTGGCCTTGAGTTGCACTAAGGAAGGTTTAAGTTGGATATAAGAAAAAAATTATTCACGTTATGGGTTATGAAGTGTTGGAACAGGCTGCCCAGGGAAGTAATTGAGTCACCATCCCTGGAAGTCTTCAGAGAACGTGTGGGTGTGGTGCTCTGGGACATGGCTTAATGGTGGGCTTGGCAGTGCTAGGCTAAACATTGGACCAGATGGTCTTAGAGGTCTTTTCCAACCTAAATGATTGTATGATTCTATGATTAAGATGTCACAATAGATAATAATTTTTGATGCCACTACCAAGGACGCGTACCCTTGCCAGTGCTAGGAACCACAAGCCTTGTTAACACAAATACACGGTCTAAGAGATGTGTTGTTCCTGTAGTTGTATCCTCAGGGGTGCAATGATTTACTTCACCTGCTTGGACAGAAAGAAATAGGAGAGGAATGTGATGGGGTTGTCCCAGCCCAGGAGAATACATAAATAATCCATGCTGAAGGTTCAAAGCACAGGCTTTATCGTTGAAACACTCCAGAGAGTTGTGTTAAAAGCTGATTTAAAAACTAGAACTCGTACGCATTTACCCTTTGTATTCCCTCTTCCCCAAAACCTGAAGGAAATCCTACTAAATCCATCACTGAGAGTACTGCATAGGATGCAGCCATATAACTTACAGCAAGTACTTAACTGAAAATGCATATATAAAATTAATCTTTTTGTTGTATAAAGCAAGCATTCAAGATGACAAAATTGAGATAGCACTGAGACATGAATAGTACTTAGTAATTTTTCCAGGTGACTTTTTTTGTTTTGTTTAAGACATGCAACTGTAAAGTTTAAAAATGGCTTGGTTTACTTTTTGTAAAGGTAACAATATTTATTTTTTATTTCTAGCTCTAGAGCACATTCTCCAATGATCGCTGTAGGAAGTGATGACAACAGTCCAAATATATTGGCAAAGGTTCAAATTTATGAATATAATGAAAATACCAGGTATGCTAAATAGCAGTGTTTATGGTAAAAAAATACCTAATTATGGTAAATTTGTGGTTATTTGTGGATAGGAGTGTTAAATCATACTCCTCAGTTTTGTCTCTAAGACTTTGGATGGGAGATTCATCTCAGAATCCTTGCTGATGCTAATGGATGTGACAGATTTTGGTAATTTTGTTCTATCCCAGCACAGAAATTCCAGTGTTTTCACCAGCATTTTAAAGGGACAATTGCTGTTTCTGCTTCTACTATTCTTTATCCTTAATTTTGCACAAGGAATCAGTAGGGCCAAAGTTGAAGTTTGAATTTGCTGAACTAAGTACTGTTTTGTTGAAGGTAACAATAAAAATGGTTTTAAAAACATGTTTATAATGACAGAATGTCCTGCGAATTACTAGCATTCTGTAAAAGTTGATACAGCTAAAAATTCAGAACCAAAAAATGCCAGGAAGTGCACGCACAACCACTTTGAATGAAATGATGGCAGAGAACCCGTTTCATTGCGTGGTGGCCACGTGAACAGTGTCAAAGTGTTTTATGAATTTAAGCCTGGCTTTTGACAATGTTTTCTGTGCATTAACAATAAAGAAAAGTTGTTGTAACTTACCATGTGGTAAATAAGAAAACTAAATATGTTCATTACACAGCAAAGAAGGCAGACAGTGGTCTGTGTACAAGCACGGAGAATTTAATAAGTTTCTGGGGTGTAAATTTTAGATTGTGAATGAAAGAATCTTTTTATTTCTCTCTTCCAGCTGTGGACAAAAATGTTCTTTTTACTGAAATCCTTGTTTTGTTTTATGGTTTAGCGTACTATTGGTAGTAGTTGATGTATCTGATGTATTTAGTTTCTGAAGAAGTCAGCTTGTAACAACATAATAACGGTGTAATTTATGTTAAGAAACTGATTTTAGTTTTACAAGTCTCATTATGTATATTAAGTCCATTTTCCCTGTTCTGCTGTGTCTGGTTTCTATAATTTGTGTCACTGGTAATTTTGGTGGTACTAAAGGTTAATTTCTCATGCTCTACAGGAAATATGCAAAAGCAGAAGCTCTGATGACAGTCACAGATCCTGTACATGATATTGCGTTTGCTCCAAATCTGGGAAGATCGTTCCACATTTTAGCTGTAGCAACCAAAGACGTACGAATTTTCACACTAAAACCTCTAAGGTGAGCTTAAAAGGAAGACCAGAAAACTGTCATTGAGTATGATGTGATGCATACTATATACTCTTTGGTAGTATCTGGGAAGCATAAGTAATTCAATTTATGCAGGATTGCTTTTTAGCAGCCTGTTTTTTTAAGATGATAAGAAAGTGAGCAAGACTTTAATTCTGTCTGAGTATCTTTTAATGCTCCTAGTCTATTAATGATTGTTCTGTAAATTTATTGAAGGAGGCAGTCCTCTCTTTTAGTCGCCATGTTAAAACCAGACCTTCGAACAGTTGTGTGCAGAACTGTCCCTCTCCTCTTTAACAGGAAAGAATTGACTTCATCTGGAGGATTAACAAAATTTGAAATTCATATTGTGGCACAGTTTGATAATCACAATTCCCAGGTGTGGCGAGTTAGCTGGAACATTACAGGCACAGTGCTTGCCTCCTCTGGTGATGATGGCTGCGTTAGGCTCTGGAAGGGTAAGAATTCTGTGTGTCATCAGCTTGAAGTGGTATTTTGCTTCATGTATCAGCTTTGTGGTATGCTGAATACATTTGAGAAAGCATAGTACATTTCTGGAGTAAAAGTATTAAGATCCTTGAATGATATACTTTTACATTTTAGGAAAAGGAAATGACTTTCTGGGCTGAAACACTTAAATGATTTAGGTTGCTGTGAATAGTAGCTACTATCTGATAACCTCAACTTGTTTTACCAGATCACAGCGATGTAAAAATGTCCTTTTTAAAAACTTAACATGTACTGAATTACTGTCTTTGCCAGTTGCTAAAATCTGAAATTCTATTTTTAGTTACAACATTCAGGCAAACTGTCTTTTTTTTTCCTGTTTAAATGTCCCAAAGCAAAAATAAAAATCAGTTGTGGTTTCCTCATCCATTCTCACTTGTTTCTCAGCATTGTTAGTAGAGACGAAGCAAACTCATTCTTGCTACCGAACAAAACTGAGATTTAAATAATGGGTAGGCAGAGAATGTCAGGCAGCTATTGGGTCAGATCCTCAGCTGTTTGAAATATTTATGTTGGTACTAGAGTAAAATTCAGATTTGTGCAAGATGAGTAGCATCTTAGCTGTGCCAAAAGCATTCAGAACAGAAACTAACAGTTTTTGTATATGTATATTTGCAGCTAATTACATGGACAACTGGAAGTGTACTGGTATACTGAAAGGTAACGGGAGTCCGGTCAATGGTGGTTCCCAGCAGGGAATTTTTAACACCTCTCTAGGTTCAGCCAACACAAGCCTACAGAATTCACTCAATGGATCATCTGCCAGCAGGTAGGCTAATTGGTAGAGAGGCTGAATTTCAGTAAATATTTTCTTCTGTGAATCTTCTTAATTTCACTTAATTTTTGTGTTTTTTATGTTTTAAAGTGTGATGTCATTTGCTGTGTGAATACTTGTACAAAAGCTATTCTGACTTGGCTTTGTGGTGGTGCCTGTTATGCCAGCATTAAGAGGAAAATAAACCATAAGTTACGCTGAATTACTCTGTACAAACAAGTTATGTAAACAATTTGTTTCACTTTTAGTCCTTTCACGATATTAAATCCAAAAAAAAACAAAGCACTTTTCTGGAAATAGTTTTGAACAAGGAGAAACTTGATCACACTGCTTTGTAACTGTCCTTGTTTTAGATGCATGTTTAAAAGTTAAGCAAAAATACCAGCAACAGATTCTGTTTTTCACTGAGATAATGAAGCAGAAGGAAAGCAGGAAAAGATACTTCATTGTGTATGGTTTCAACAGTCATGTATGCTAGCGTTAGTTTATTTTACGTGCATTTTTCCAGTTCTAACATTAATTGAATACAAGTTTGTTGATTTTTTTAATCTTCCTCCTTCATACTGAATTCTTACTGCTGATTAATTTGCTTTCTCTTTTGTGTTTTTATACTGCAATAATTACTGTTTTGTAGGTAAATTTAACTGCATTAACTGAACACGATTTTTAATTTGTGCACACTAAACTCTAGAAATTAGTGAATGCTGCATGTGTAAGGTGATGTCTGCACAGGTTATGTGCTGTATAAGGACTGGGTGTGGCCAGATTCCGCAGCAGAAACTTTCAAGTTATAGATCCATGCAGGCCATTGTATATCTCTTTAGCATAGGCTGTGGTTTCATAATCTCCTTACTGAAGACTACTGCTGCCAGAAAGACTACCCTGCCATATCCTACCCCACCATGAGTGCTTGTTCTCCTCTCCCCTATGCTGGTAGTCAGCCATTGTGTGAACTGAAACAGACCATTATTTTTAGACTTCCTCCATTGCTCTGGGTTTTGAAAGTCAGATATTTGAATTCGCTTTTTGTTAGAAAATTAAGTCTGTGGCTGTGGAATTTAAGAACATGCTCTTAGGACAGAGCCACGTTATAGAAAAGATGCACTTTTTCTCTTGCAATCATGTTGGCGAGAACTTCATAAACACAGTTGCTAACGTTTTTGCAGGGGTTATTAACAAGATGTAAAGATTTATCTACTGAGAGTTGACTAAATCGGTATGCTACACAATTCATTTTGTCTGTTACTGTAAATGCTATGTTTCAGTATTTAGACGTTTAAACACACAATAGCTGAAGCGTAGGCAGATTTGGGTCTTTGGAAAACTTTGTTAAAACACAGTCATCAAAGTGGGTTCTCAACCAAAATAGTTTTAAAATAGATGACATAGATTGTTGGAAAAGAAGGCAGTAGGGTTATGTTGTTATGCTGATATAATTATGTATGTCTAGATTTGTGATACAATTTCCCTTCTCCATCTGTATTATGTCCTTTTTAACAGAAAGCAGAGCTGATACCAAGCTAACTGGAGTAACTTTGGTGTTTTGCTGCTTGTTGCATGCACACAGGAATGGAAAATGAACTCCTTTTTCCCCTCCCCAACGCCGTTTGACCTCTCCCAAGACACCAGCAGCCTGCTAACTACTAAATGCTATTCAAAAACCTTTTTAAAACACGTTGTGTACTTTTTTGTACTAGGCCGCGCAGTTTGATACTGTTGAAACTCCTGACAGAAAAATACTTAGGAGAGGCTTCTTGTTTAAAACAAAACAAAACTTCCATCAGATTTTTGTTTGAGAAGCTTGACCAATTAAAAAACTAGTTCATGGTTAAAAATGAGAATCTTGATTGGGATGGGAGGAGGGAAGTGACCGTTAAAGTAACTTCCATTAAAATTGTTTTAATAGCTGATATGTTTTACATTTCATAGTGTTTAACACTTGATAAAGATTCCTAAACATCACAAGTTTGTAACTGCTTTGTAATATATGAAACTGTTTTAAAGGAATAAGAAAATTGTGTTTTGAAAATTGTACAGAAGGTAGCTTTTGATAGTTGGGTATTGCTTCATTTAAAACTTAGTATGAATTCAAATGCATGTTTTGTAAGTACTGTCATACTTTCTTCATCCTAACTAAAAGTACTTTTTCTGACGTGTTTGTACATTCCTATGGCAATGGTTCCATGGAGTAACTAAAATTGAGTGGAGTATCTAAAAGTGCAAATAATTGAGCCATACAAAAACTGAAACCAAAATGCAGCTTGTTGTGGATTGTCCCATACGTTGGTTAATTGTATAGCTGATCTCTTACGCAAGTCCACAGAACTGTAAACAAGACAGAAAACATCTGTAGGTACCTAACATAGTTACACTAAAATGCACAAGTATTACGGGTAAGTTCTAATAAAAATGACAGAAAAATGAGATGAAATGGTGTAATTCTGAGTCTTGCATTCACTGGGAATCTTAAATTTACTCTGAGGATTTTGCAGAAATACGTAATACACACGAAGACTGTATTTCATTGAGAGTAATTATTCTCTGTAAATGTACATTATTAAATTTAAAGTATTGTAAAATCTATATGATGTTTTTATGTCTATTCTGGAAGTGACGCGAAGTTAATCTGAATTGGATGCATACACAGAAAATGTACTTGCATAGTATTTAATGTATAACTTGTGTTGCAAATGAAGCGTTACTAAAAGCTGTTAACAAATCATGGGAATTCTGGGAGAGCGAAAGCATGTTAATAGCTGTGCTACAAAATCCTTTAGATTTCCAAAGCAATCTAGCAATTTTGTAAAATGTATGCTAAGATTATTATTACGTTATTATTTTCCATGAAGTCCAGGGGAAAAGACTGTATTTTTTTTTTCCTTTAAAGAACAGTTTCCAGATTTGTCTTGTTTTGAATTACAAGCCTTGATTTCTGCTATTACGTTCTATTGGTTTTGGCATGGATATACTAAAGCTTTTGTTTTTTTTTTTCCAGCATGTCTTTTCTCCCCTTTGGTTCTCCTTGTATTTACTACCTTTCTCTTTTTCTTGTTTTGTTTTTTTTTGTTTTGTTTTGTTTTTGTTCTTGTTTTGGTGTTTTGTTCCTGTCTTAATTGTTTCAGGTATTTCTTTCCCCCTCTGGATTCCCCACGGGCTGGATCGAGATGGTCCAGTCATGCCCAGCTCCTTCCTCCTCCTCCTCTGATAGAGCACTCTTGCGATGCTGACACTGCCAACCTCCAGTATCCTCACCCTCGCAGACGATGTGTGTCTCGGCCTCTTAATCTATTACCTGAGAATGAAGGGGTTTAGTACACGTTACTTTTATTAAACTTGAAAGGGCCTTATTCAGATGTTTGTAAACACTTCCATTCTGGCTGTTTTTGTGTTTCTTCTCTCCTACAGAAGATTCTCAAAATCTGGGGGCTTTTATGCATGTTTTGCAAAACAAACTACAGTATTTGGAACATGTTATTTGTGTTTGTGCATCAAAGGAACATTTTAGTCTGTAGCCTTTGATGAACACATCAACACATACAAACAGTATTATCCACAACCTATTTACAGAGTAGCTGAATTCAAAGTGCCTGCCCTTTTTTCTTTTTTTTTTCTTTTCTTTTCTTTTTTGGAATCAGTTTATTGTAGTCTTGAATTTTTTCTTTTCTGTATTGCACTGACAAATGTGAAATGTACTCTCAAAATTAAACATACCTTCAAGAAGCTGTTAAATAACTAAAGGATGATATTGGATCAACTTGTATAAAAAACAAAACAAAACCATTCCTGTGTACACTGCAGCAAAATACAATTTGGAGTGTTTGGTTACTTTAAAAATTTTCCATCTTGCTGTATAAATATTTAAATTTTATAATTGTGGTTGACTAATAAACTTATTTTAAAAGGTCTGTATTAGTATGCTTTTTGTTGTAATAGTGTAGGTTTTTGTTTTGTTTTGTAACTGGCTGGAGATTCGGGATTCAGATGGCCATTCCCTTAGCTTTGTGTTTACGAAGCCCTGCCATTCTGGATGCACCGTTGCACGTTACATTTTCTTACCACATGCTGTGCTCTTTGACTTTTTTTATGGGTGTGTTGAAGGTTTGCAGAGACTGGTAGAGTTGTTAGATTTCAAATCGACCTGCCTCAGATTTCTCTTCCAGTGACTGAGTAATTCACTTAGGACATTTTGAGGAAATAGTACTCAGTTAAAATCCTCCTTTTTGATGGGTCAGCACAGGAACAGCATTACTGGCATTGACTCGGGTTGGGCTGGTGTGAGGCAGGCAGGAGGATAAAACCTGACTTACTGCATGGTATTTCTATGGAGCAGCACTGCTGTAGGGGGTGTCATTGCCAAGCTTGTTCAGCAGATTGTGTGTGGGGAAAGGATAAAATGGGTTTTGTGCAGCACAAACCCAAGAGTACTGGGTTTACACTATTAAGTGTATTTCCTGGCTGCTCCTGCTCTTGGTATTGCAGCATGCTTCAGAATAGGTTTATGCTACTTCCCAAATTAGGTTATTAGCATAAGGGAACCCGCATTCTCCAAAGCTACAGCAAGTTCTCTGAATTTCATTTGCATTCTAAAAACTGCGTTTACTCATAGAAGACCATATACTTTTGCTCAGATGCATTGCATTTGTTTCTTTATCTCTGATGAATCTAGTTCTGATTTACTAAAAGCTGTAGGAGGTAACCATACCATCCATACCGTTATGGACTGCTTGCTGGCAGTGCATAGAGCTAGGCTGCTGCTAAGTTTCAGCCAGCAGGAATAGAGCTGGAGGAAAAAAAAAAAAAATTTTTTTTTTTTTAAAAAAAAGCTTATTAAATGCAACTACTTAGGCCTTTTTATCAATAAGTTATTTTTTTATGAAACCATGCTGTACATGATAAATTGTGCATGATAAATTCAGAAATGTTACATGATTAAAAATAAGTTTAAAAGGGAGATACGAAGTAATATTCCTCTGTAGAGGAATAAGTCATATGAAGGGGGGAGAGAGAGATCAAAACTTGTTATACTGGAATTCATTCCTAAAAGAAGAAACTGATTCTGGGTATGCAAGCAGCAAAATACAATTTTGAAGGTTTAAGCCATTTGCAGAATTGCTTTTTTCCCTTTTGGTCCCTTCAGTACAGCAATTAATCTTTACTGCATTTTTGGTGTAACACGGAAACAAAACAAAACAAAAACAAAACAAAAGCTCCTTCCTAAGCAGCTATTAATAAAAAAGCAATGTGGCAGTGTCTGTATACCTTGCTGTTCCCCTATGATAGAAATTTGTCCTGTGAAACACTAGAGTGTGTGAGATATGCCTCAATTACTGCAACATAACAACAACAAAATTAAAAATTAAAAAAAAAAAGTGTAAAATATATGTAAGAATAACTTAATGTATAACCATCCTTGGTAAGCCTCCGATCTACGGGAAAGACTCCTGCTTGCATTTCCTTTAAAATTTGCTTCTGCTGTTCTGGAGCCCACAATAACCACCTAATGGTACCAGTCAGGTAAATGGTAACTTTTTGTAGTTTCTTATTGGGAGCAGCTGTAAAGGCGACCTGGCTGCAATGGGAAAAAGCTAACAGAAAACCCTGAGAGAAGAAATTGCCTAAGGAGTGGGCCTGTGAACCAGAAACACCCTGGAGAAGCACAGCCCGCCTCTTTGAAGTGCAGCTGGGCACTTAACAACTGGAGACATCCTGGAAACACCATCAATGAGGACAAAAGCAAGGAAGTGTAACAGCAGGCTTATCAACTGGAAAGGTGAGAAATACCCTGAGGTATACCCTGAAATGTCCTGAGGAAGTGGGAATTGACAACTGCTATTGGCTGTTTTAGCTGAAAGAAGAGAAAAATAGTCTGGGAAAACTAATTTTTTTTTTTATTTTTTTTTTTTTTTCTGAGTAGTAGACGTGATCATCCCTTAGCTGTTTCAGCTGAAAAATAGAAATTAGCGGCATCTGTTGGCTGCTTTAAGTAGTGGTGTCCTAGGCCCTCTTGTTTCTGTGATACAAAAATGAGTTGTTTTCTATCCAGAATGGAGCTTCTCTTTCTGGGAACTGTCCACACACAAACTTTTCCTACAGTACTTCCTGAACAGATTGGACCCTCACTGGGGATGCCTGGCTGACTGTATATATATATGGATATATATTCCTGATCTCTGCTATACTATTAATGTATATATACTTGCTTTTCTGGTAATAATGTTTAATATCTTGATATATACTTGCCTTATTAATCATATGTAAACTTGCTGGTGGTGTTTTTAGTAATCTGTGATAAAGCAGAAGAGTTTAGGAAATGAAGCTTCTGTGTCCTTGTGTGTTAAGGAATTCCACAAAACCTGCTGTTGCAATGTCTGTATACCCGCAGGCCAGGTAACCCTTTAGTGTGTGACACACGGTCATGTTATGTGCCTGTGCTGAACACTGTTGGGTATCCTGACGAATTCCAGTCACCCTTCTTACCAATGGGAGAATGCTGTTAACATTTTCAGCGTAAATGAGTCATGTTTCCACCGGCCTGGCCAAGTGCTTTGACTTCAGCAGCTGAACTCTTACTGCTTTTGTGGCTGACGCCGTCCTTTCCCCCTGCCTGCCGTTTTGCACTGCTGCCTCTCATGACCAGGTCCCTTTGCTCCATGTCCTCGGCTGCCCGGCTCCACTTTCTCAAATCCATCTTTAGTCATCTCTGGTGCCCTCCTCACGGGCAGGACCTGGGCCCTTGGACACAAACAGCAGAACCCACAGAAGGGAGGGAGGGAGATTACAGGAGGGTGTAAAGAGGGAGGATTGAGGCAGGCACTTCCAGTATTTTAAGTTTATTTTAAACTTATCCAGCACTTTGAAAGGCTGCCTTCCCTGAGGAGTTTTTTTATCCCTTTGAAAGAGGATACCGCGTTACCCTGTGCTCACAGCACATTCCAGCCTCGGCTTCCCGGGCTGTGCGTTACAGGCGGCTGCTGCTTCTACAGGGCGCGTTTTTCTGTTTATTTTGTTTATTGTTCGTGTTGTTTTGACCCTCACGCAGTACAAAACCCCGATGCCATGCCGTGGGCGATCCTTCAGCCCCCAACACCACCGTGCGGCCCCGGATGAGGGGAGGAGAGAGAAGAGGGGAGGGGAAGGAGGGGAGGAGGCAGCTCCCGCCCCGCCCAACGGCCCCAACGGCGCTAACGGCCTCAGCGGCCGGGGCTGCCTTCCCCGGGCTCGGGGGGCTGCGAGCGGGGCCGGTGCCGCCGCCCCGCAGCAGGTGAGGCAGAGGAGGGAGCGAAGGCTCCGGGTGGGGGGGGCTCGGTGTGTGTGTGTGGGGGGGGGGGGGGTGGCGCTGCCTCGCGCTGGGGCCGTTGCGTGGCGTTGAGGCGCGCGCGCGACCGTTTAACGATTTGAAGTTTTGGCGGTTGGGCCCGCGCGAGGCCTCCCCCTCCCTCCTCCTCCTCCTCCTCCTCCTCCTCACGGGGCTCGGTGTTGGAACCGCCAGGCGCAGGGGATGGAGGACGTGAGGCGGATCGCCGACGAGACCTTCCCCAGCTTCCTGGGCGCTTCCCTGAACAGCAGCGCCAGCCTCGCCTTGGCCAATGTCACGGCTTCCTCCAACCCCGGCCTGCCCGTCGCCGCTTCCACCGTCGCCAGGAGCAAAGCGGGCTGCGACGACAGGTGAGGCTGCCGATTAGTGCTTCCTAACTGCCTTAACGTGCTTAATTTGGACAGGAAAGCTTATCTGGATGTAGTATTGCGCGATAGAACTGTATACTAATCAAGAGCATAATGCTGTATTAACAGTCAAAAACATGGTTTGCATACATAACATGTAACGTGTTTTTAAAAAAATAATCCTTAGAAGAGTAGTTTAGTCTTCAGAATAAAGACACTAATCAAGCTTAATTTGGTTCTTCAGCATAGTATACTCAAGTCGGAGGATGTGCAGAGAACGTGTATTTTTTACAGGTGGTTTCTACGTTAATTGAATCTAAGCTAATGTAAGATGTAGTGTTGTGGATACCAATTTCAACTTCACACAACCTACAATGATGTGTTCAACAAGGATTGGGGCACAGAGTAACAGCTGAAGCCTTTGCTCGCTTTATTGCTGTCCTGTGTGACTTAGCATGAAGTAAGATCAGACTGCGATAACCTGTCTTTGCAGAAGTGTGCTTTTCTAATGGGACAGCAATAGCCAAATAGCCACAAAGAAAAAGATGAAGTGGTATTTCTTTAAAGAACTTCAGAAGTTTGGAGAAGATCATTCAGGGTGCATGTATGTACCTGTAAATACAAATTGGCTGGAAAATTATAAACTATTCAAGTAATTAAATATATAGAATATGAATGAAGATGAGTCAAATATGACTTTCTTCCATTTCTTTGAGAAATGCATATTAGAACAACGCTGTTTTGTGCTTTCCCTCCCAACCCTCACAGGCTTTCTGATATCCTGGCATCTTACATAGAAGAAGGGAAACGGTCACCTCTGTCACAATCTTCTCATGGTAGCCAGTCAGATCCTGAGCCGATGGGGAGATTTGCCCTCAACTTTCATGATGACCTGTGAGTGACATACCTAAAACTAGTTCTTTCCTAAAATGCACGTACCAGTATATAGTATGTAGATTTATTAACCTATTCTATAAGCTGATAGTGGAATATGTTTGGATTTGGAAAATACCTTGTCAGTCATAACAACCAGGGTGAATTTGGTCTCTGACAATAATGTGCCTCCTGCCAGCTGCCCCGATCTCTGAGGGTGCTGTTTACTTCCCTGTAAGTGGTGTGTTTTCCCTACAGCAGCAGCCAGCATCCTAAAGTGGAGTCTTACCTTGCCACGCAATATGGAGCTCCCGTTGTGAGAGGAATGGGATGAGAAGATGATTGGTTGTTGGCTTGCCTTGAAAAGCGG